AACCATACCATGTTCAAAGTCACTTAAATCCCCTTCCTTCACCATTCTGATGCTCGGTTTGAACTTCAAGTTGCTGCCTTGTGATTGATTAGCAAGTTGTGCTACCAAGCAATTGAACAGGTGTTCCTAATGAAGAGGCCGGTGAGTGTATATACACTGTGATCAGTAATACATTACTGTGCACTTTATATGTTGTACCTTAACAGGAAGTATAGAAAAATGTTGCCACGTGAACAGATCTAAAAATCAATACACTGACATATTCAACAAACAGTACCTTTGTTCCCCGGCATCTCACATTCAGTGCCTTGAAAAAGTATTCGTGCCCCTTGAAATTTTACACATTCTGTCGTGTTGCAAGCAAAAAAACATCAATGTATTTTATTGGGATTTTATGTGATAGACCAACACAGAGTGGCACATAATTGTGAAGTGGAAGGAAAATGATAAATGGGTTTTCAAAATTTTTTTTACAAATTAAATATCTGAAAAGTGTGGTGTGCATTTGCATTCAGCCCCTATTACTCTGATACCCCTAACTAAAATCTAGTGGAACCAATTACCTTCAGAAGTCACCTAATTAGTAAACAGAGTCCACCTGTGTGTAATTTAACCATGTGCCCTCCTGAGGATTTACCCCTCTCTTGACAAGACCATTTTTTGCATTCAGGCGCTGCATTACTTTAACTGACAATTGCGCGGTCATGCAACGCTGCACCCAAATGAAACGTACGTTCTTTTCCCACTAATTGAGCTTTCTTTTGGTGGTATTTGATCGCCTGTGCAGTTATTTATTTTTTTTTTTCGCTATAAAAAAACCCCAACAATTGAGGAAAAAAAAAAAAAACCCAATATTTTTGACTTTTTGCTATTAAACATGTCCAATAAATCAAATTTCGTCATAAATTTACACCAAAATGTATTCTGCTACATGTCTGCTAAAAAAAAAAAAAATCCCAATACGTGTAAATGAATTGGTTTACGTGAAAGTTATATTGTTTACAAATGGCAGTATGTATATATATTGGAATTTTTTCACTAGTAATGGCGGCGGCGGCTTACAGCGGGAATGCAGCGGACATTCTGACAGTGGGGGGAACTGACTTGATGTCACTGACATCCCCCAGTGACAAGTGCTACAAAAAAGCACTGACACTGTACTAATGGCACTAGGCAGGAAGGGGTTAACATGAGGGGTGATCAAAGGGTTAACTGTGTGCAGGGAGTATTTTACTAGGGGGCCATGTCAGTGTGCTTTACTGTAATCACACTGCTCTGGATGGCTGTGCACAGCACAGCCAGTGTGCCTGAGCTGACAGGGAGGAGGACTGTTAGTAAAAAAAAAAAAAAAAAAAAAAAAAAAAAAAGATCTTCGGAAATCACCGGGCGCAGGCAAGTAATTACCGGCCGGGACCGGGTGATTGACAGCCGCGAATGGCAGTGCGGGTAGGGCACGCGCTTCCTCTACCTGGGTGAATGCAAAATCACGTATATACAGTGAAGGAAATAAATATTTGATCCCCTGCTGATTTTGATTGTTTGCCCACTCACAAAGCAATGATCAGTCTAAAAATCAAACTGTAGGTGTATTGTAACACTGAGAGACAGAATAGCAACCAAAAATTCAAAAGAATTGCATGGCTAACAAATGATGCACTGATTTGCATGTTCATGAGGGAAATAAGTATTTGATCCCCTATCACTCAGCAGGATTTCTGGCTACCAGGTGTCTTTCATACAGGTAACAAGATTCTTAAAGGAAGTGCTACTAATCTCATTTTGTTACCTGTATAAAAGACACCTGTCCACAGGAGTAATCAAACAATCAGATTCCAAACTCTCCACCATGGCAAAGACCAAAGAGCTGTCCAAGGATGTCAGGGACAAGATTGTAGACCTACACAAGGCTGGACTTGGCTACCAAACTATTGCCAAGCAGCTTAGTGAGAAGGTGACAACAGTTGGTGCACTGATTCACAAATGGAAGAAACACAAAACAACGGTCAGTCTCCCTATGTCTGGTGCACCATGCAAGATCTCACCTCGTGGAGTGCCAATGATCATGAGAACAGTGAGGAATCATCCCAGAACTACACGTGAGGATCTTGTCAATGATCTCCAGGCAGCTGGGACCACAGTCACCAAGAAAACAATTGGTAACACACTACGCCGACAAGGATTGAAATCCTGCAGTGCCCACAAGGTCCCTCTGCTCAAGAAAGCACATGTCCAGGCCCTTCTGAAGTTTGCCCCTGAACATCTGAATAATGCAGAGGAGGACTGGTTGAAAGTGTTGTGGTCAGATGAGACCAAACTCGAGCTCTTTGGCATCAACTCAACTCGCCGTGTTTGGAGGAGGAATGCTGCCTATGACCCCAAGAACACCATCCCAACTGTCAAACGTGGTGGAAACATTCTGCTTTGGGGGTGTTTTTCTGCCAAGGGGACAGGACAACTGCACCACACCAAAGGGACAATGGATGGGGCAATGTACCGTCAAATCTTGGGTGAGAACCTTCTTCCCTCAGCCAGGGCATTGAAAATGGGTCGTGGATGGGTGTTCCAGCATGACAATGACCCAAAACACAAGGCCAAGGCAACAAAGGAGTGGCTCAAGAAGAAGCACATTAAGGTCCTGGAGTAGCCTAGCCCGTCTCCAGCCCTTAATCCAATTGGAAATCTGTGGAGGGAGCTGAAAGTTCGAGTTGCCAAACGTCAGCCACCAAACCTTAATGACTTGGAGAGGATCTGCCAAGAGGAGTGGGCCAAAGTCCCTCCTGAGATAAGTGCAAACCTGGTGGCCAACTACAGGAAACGTCTGACCTCTGTAATTACCAAAAAGGGATTTGCCACCAAGTACTAAGTCATGTTTTGTGAAGGGGATCAAATACATATTTCCCTCATGAACATGCAAATCAGTGCATCATTTGTTAGACATGCATTTCTTTTGAATTTTTTGTTGCTATTCTGTCTCTCAGTGTTACAATACACCTGACAGGTCAGGGATAACGTTGTGGAGATGTTTAAAGCAGGGTTAGGTTATGAAAAAAAATATCTCAAGCTTTGAACATCTCACGGAGCACTGTTCAATCCATCATCCGACAATGGCACAACAGCAAACTTACCAAGACATGGCCATACACCTAAACTGACAGGTAAGGAAATCATGAATCAGAGAAGCAGCCAAGAGGCCCATGGTAACTCTGGAGTAGCTGCAGAGATCCACAGCTCAGGTGGGAGAATCTGTCCACAGGACAACTATTAGTCGTGCACTCCACAATTCTGGCCTTTATGGAAGAGTGGCAAGAAAAAAAGCCATTGTTGAAATAAAGCCATAGGAAGTCCCGTTTGCGAGAAGCCATGTATGTGGGGGACACAGCAAACATGTAGAAGAAGGTGCTCTGGTCAGATGAGACCAAAATTGAAATTTTTGGCCCAAAAGCAAAACGCTGTGTGGTCTCAAAACACCAATGAAAAAGGTGGTGAACACTGCCAAAACATATGGCTTCTGTACTATGAGTGTCTAATGCAGGGTTTTTCAACCAGGGTTCCCTCCAGAGGTTGCTACGGATTCCTTGAGCAATAGCTACCTTTCAGATAAGTTGCCACTGACACCACTGATCTTTTTAGCCATCTGTAAAGAGGTAAATCTTCCCAATGATAGAAAATGTAAGGAGGATTCTTCCCACTAACTATCACACTAATATATCATGAGTTGTAGATATAGTACCCTTTAGCAGGGGGTCCCTGAGACCGGAAAGTTATTTCATGGGTTCCTTCAAGTTGAATAAGGCTGGTCTAATGTGTATTCAATCCATTCATCACGCGGTTACCCTTATTCCTCAACTCTACAGATACAGATCAACTAATGGCCAATATGACAATTGTTAAAAACATCCCTAACCAGTGTGAGATTACACATTCTCAGTTAGTAGAATGTGCATCACAGGGGGTGCTTTTGCTTCATAAAATCATTATATTATACATTGTAATTTTTCCAAATAAAGAGATTCCAGCTGCTACTGATTCTTTTATTGACTTCACAATCCAGCAGAAGATGAAGAGTTGCACTTCGGTTACCTAGTGAAGGATTAAGTGATCCATGTATATTTCTATTAAGGGTCCTTTCTACATACTGGAACTACTCTAAAGGGTAGTAAACTGGCTGTCTGATTTCTAGAATTAATCCAAGTAAATGGCACTGTGTAAAAAAAAAAAAGTAGTGGTTAAGACCAATCTAATTTATCCCTCCTAGCATGTAACAATTACTGCTCCAGGCATTTACCTACTTTGTGAACTTCAATGTAGGAGACACTCCCACCTCAATGGAATGGGGAAGACGCCCCCACATCAGGTGTCCCTGTATAGAGCAGCATATAATCACTAAACCCAATAACAATGGTCTATATACATGATTTATTTACACATTTTAGTACAAACCACAGTTCCCTTAATATCTTTTTTTTAAGAAAATATACATCCATAAAAAAAAAAAAAAAAAAAAAAAAAAACAACAACTACCAATTAACTCTGTGCACAAATGCAGCATACAGCACAGTCCAGTGGTTCAAAGGACACAAAGTTTTCCATGCTAGTAAAGTCATGCACGTGGCACAGAGGCCTGCAAGACACCTATAGAAAAACAGAACTCTGCGCCAGCAGGGTCAACCATGCATGTGACAGGAAGCAAGAATTTTAGGGTACAGATTTGAAGTCCCCCCTCCCTTAATCTATCAGTGCAGAAGGGCGAAGACTAGCAGAAGGTAATTTTCAGCTTTCTCCAACTGCTAAACATATGTAAACAGGCAGGGAGACTGTGGAGGCACAGGAGGTGGGGAGGAGGCACTGGCGGTGACAGCTGGTTTTGGTGAGATATAAATAGCTATGTCAGCAGCATCTATCCAACAGTGACGTCAAACTATACCAGTCCTGTCTGCCTCCCCCTCATCAGATACTGTGGGATCTAGGAGCACCACAGCACATAATGCTAAACAGTGTAATCAGAAAGGAGAATTCATGCCAAGTTTGGTTTCAAACTGCAGCTTTTGTCTCTTCTGGTAACGGACACGAACCCTGAAAGAAAGAAAAGTAATGTACTGTTATAAAGTGCAAAAACAGTTGCATACAGTTTGAGAAAAAAAAAACAAACAAGAACTCATAACTTCCAGTAAGCAGACAAAAAAATAGTGTCAACATTATTAAATGCGTCTCTTGATGGCAATTTGGGGAGGGTTTAAGATGTAAACATCTCCTGCCACTCAGAACTTTGGATATCAAAAAGAAATGATCAGCCCCAGCCTTTGCCATTTGTATTTTATGCAGCAGGGAATTTCAGTTCATGAATTTCCTACACATCTGATGTCTCTTTGTCCTGCATACAGCCCTAGATATGAAAAAAGTAGGATTTAGAAAGTGAAATCTATTTCGTAGATATAGAGGCTTAACCTCTCCCAGCATGTTTCAGTTTTGTAGAAAGGCAGTGATAGTGATAGGGGTACATCATAAATACAGTGGGGTGGGACCTGCATCTACCTAACAAGTCCAAAAATTAAAAAAAATAAATAAATTTACAGCAAGTAGAAAAGCCCCATTTTCATATTCATTAGGGGATACAGGATTCAATCAACCTGCGACAATTGCTAAGTCCAAAAGCGGTAACAAAACACTAACAGGCCCACATAACAAAATATTACAACAACTGGGGACGGCTCAAAAAAGCTGTCTGAAGAACATTACACCCAAAGCTGGCAGCAGGTAAACAGGACAGAAAGGGGGAAGCCCCTAATGGGAACACAGCAGTAAAAACCTAACAGTGGAAATGAACTACAAATGTATGGCTAGATGGTATATTTATTAATTTCAGGTATTTTATATAGCGCTGTCAATTTCTGCAGCGCTTTACATATATATTGTACATTCACATCAGTCCCTAACTATTAAAGGGCATACAATCTAAGGGCCCTAACTTACATTCATACATACACATACTAGGGCCAATTTAGACAGGATCCAATTAACCTACCAGCATGTCTTTGGAGTGTGGGAGGAAACCGGAGTACCCGGAGGAAACCCACGCAAGCACAGGGAGAACATGCAAACTCCAGGCAGGTGGTGCCGTGGTTGGGATTCGAACTAACGACCCTAGTACTGCCAGGCGGAAGTGCTAACCATTTAGCCACTGTGCTGCCCTATATATAACACAAAATGTAGCTCACAGGTAACAAGTAGATATTTCACCTTTGTGCTGGAGAGGATGTGGAGAAAGGGGTACAATGGCAAAATGTGGTGGGGCTGCCCGAAAATACAGAATTACTGGAGGAAAATAACCCAACTCATTCAGGTAATATGTGGGATAACGATACAGAGAGATCCGTGAAGGTGTTTGTTTAATATCTTTGAGCCCTCAGTGAAATCATACAAAAATAGGATACTTTATCACTTAATTAGTGCGGCTAAGGGTCTGATTCTCAAGTTTTGGCAGGTTCCTGAAGCACCAAAAATTAATGAATGGATAAATAGAGTTGAAAATATCTATATGATGGAGGAGCTATATCACATGGAGGAGGACAAAATGGAAACATTTAGGAAAATGTGGTGTAGTTCTTTGAAATTTAAAACCTCTGAAAGATATATGGAACTGGTCGGAATTGAGGGGGAAGTTAGGAGAGATCCTTATTGGAGAATCCAAGAGAGAGAGTTGTCAGATATAGATAGATAATTATGAGAGAACAAACAGATCAGGAAGGAGGATGTGGATGGGGAAAATGGGTAGGGGGGGAAAATGGGTTGGGGGGAGAGGGGAAGGGTGGGCAGGGTTGGGGTTAATATTGGGGTAAACAGAATGTGTATATGTGAAACATATTTGCAATTGAGTTGTCCCTTTTGTACTGTAAAATCAAATAAAAGTTTAAATAAAAAAACAAAAAAAAAAAAAACAAAAAACCTAACAGGTGTTCTAATCCTTCTTTATTCTATCCAAAACAACAAAAAAAAGGATTTGGTTATACTTTAACTAAAAAATGAGAGTTTAGCAGTCTGAAATAAGATCACAACTGTTAAAAAAAACGTGTCCCTTGATGGTACACAAGGCCCAATGCTAATCCAGTCCTATTTGCAGAAAGGTTAGGATTCTTCCCTCTGAGTATTTCCTGAGTTAAAAACTTCTTTCCTTGCAACAAGTGAAGTAAACCTTCCATATTTGATGGTAAAAGAGATGTAGACCCTTGTGCCAACTGTTTCTGCAGTAGGGGATCATCCAGGAATCTCATAATAGTGAATGACCTAGGAGCAACGTAATGTTAGAACTGGTGCTAATACCTTGGTGAACACTTGGAAGGCAGAAGACAGACCAAATGTAAGAATGTAAGGCCTACAAACTGAGTGTTGTATGGCTACAGAAAAATGGAGAAAACATTGGTGTGATAGAAAGATTGAGACCTGCATGGCAGCATCCTTGACATCTCCTTGATAAAGGGAGCCTATAACAGACCATGCTAAAAATCTGGACTCAAAGGAAGACCTTCAAAGTGGTATTAAAGTGTCACCAAACCCACATCATAAAAAAAACTATCAATAAATGCTGTATTACATGCTGTTCATACTCAGTCACTATGGGATTTGTTTTCTGCAAAAATCCTGGTTGATCCTGCTCCCCCTTTAGATCATTTTGTAGAGCCGTGTTGGCAGCTTCACACAAGCTCAGTTTTCAGTGACTTTCGATGCTGGGCGTGGGTGTATACACAGTGGTAAATGACAGCCCACTCCTTGCTCCTAAATGCCCACTAACCTGCTAAACTCAATGTGTGTGGGATATTTAATGTAGAATGATGGAAACTTCACCTCCCTGTTATTCTTCGACACAGGCTGGAGGGGGCGTGACACGGCCTGTGACTTATCTATGGCCAAGCAGGGTTTTATAGCCACAAAGACAGGAGTAGGACACTATTCAGAAAGACTCAGGCACCTCCTATGGGCAGTCCTCTCTGGGCATAAAACCCTCTCTGATATAGGCCTCCAGTCAGTCACAAGAGGAGGTCACAAAGGAGAAATCTCCCTAGAGGAGTGGGTGCTCTGTCCATTAACTGATTGCAAAAGATAACAGGACAAACTCCAAAAAATTCTTCAAATATATTAATAGCAAAAAGGTCCGCTCCAAGCATGTAGGCCCTTTACAAAATAATCTAGAGTGGGTGACTGGGGACAAAGAAGGCAAATTTATTAAATACCTTCTTCAGTTCTGTGTATACAAAGGAGCATGGGGGTGCTCTTGTCCATAATAGGCATGGTATTGACACAGCTCCAGATGATCCACATTGGCTCACAATTGATATGATCCAGAAATATTTAGACAGAATAAAGGTGAATAAAGCACCTGGACCGGATGGCATACACCCACGGGTCCTTAAAGAATTGAGCTCTGTCATTTCAAAGCCATTGTTTCTAATATTTAGGGACACTTTAATGACTGGCATAGTACCACTGGATTGGCGTAAGGCCAATGTGTAGTGCCAATATTTAAAAAGAGATCAAAATCTTTACTAAGTAATTATAGACCTGTTAGTTTAACATCTATAGTTAGGAAGATACTAGAGAGTTTAATAAAAGACCACACAGATGAGTTCTTGCTGGAAAAAAATATTTTTAGCAACATATGGATGCATGAAAGACAGAAGTTGTCAAACAAATCTGATTTCTTTTTTATGAGGAGGTGAGCAAAACCTGAGGGGTGACTGTGGAAGTGGTATACTTGGATTTTGACACAGTTCCCCACACACGGCTGTGTAAGGCTTGGAAAATCAATATGTATAAATCAATATAAAAGATCATATACAGAGAGTAGTGGTTAATGATTCATACTCTGAATGGTCTAGGGTTGCTAGTGGTGTACCCCGAGGTTCAGTGTTGGGACCCTTACTTTTTAATATATTTATAAACAATATAGGGTCTGGAATTAAAAATACTGTTTCAGTCTTTGTAGATGACACCAAGCTGTGCAGTGGAATAACATCTTTACAGGATGTCTCCAACTTACAAGCCAACCTCAATGCACTGTTTCATTGGGCAACTATGTAGCAAATGAGGTTTAATTTCGATAAATGTAAGGTTATGCACTTGGGGACTAATAATATGCATGCATCATACATACTAGGGGGGTTACAACTGGAGGAATCAATGGTGGAGAAGGATCTGGGAGTTCTGGTAGATCACAAGCTTAATAATGGCATGCAATGCCAAGCTGCGGTTTTCTAAAGCCTCTCTTGTATTAAAAGAGGTATGGACTGCAGAGAGAGATATCATATTACCCCTTTACAAATCATTAGTAAGACCTCGTGGAATATGCAGTTTTAATTTTGGGCACCAATTCACAAAAAGAACATTGGGGAACTGGAGAAAGTACAGAGAAGGGCAACCACATCTCCCAAGACGACCACTGCCTTGTTAAAGAAGCTGAGGATAAAGGTGATGGACTGGCCATGCATGTCTCCAGATCTAAACACTATTGAGCATCTATGGGGCATCCTCAAACGGAAGGTGGAGGAGCGCAAGGTCTCTAACATCTACCAGCTCCGTGATGTCGTCATGGAGCAGTGGAAGAGGACTCCAGTGGCAACCTGTGAAGCTCTGGTGAACTCCATGCCCAAGAGGGTTAAGGCAGTGCTGGAAAATAATGGTGGCCACACAAAATATTGACACTTTGGGCCCAATTTGGACATTTTCACTTAGGGGTGTACTCACTTTTGTTGTCAGCGGACATTAATAGCTGTGTGTTGAGTTATTTTGAGGGGACAGCAAATTTACACTGTTATACAAGCTGTACACTCAGCTGTATACTTTACATTGTAGCAAAGTGTCATTTCTTCAGTGTTGTCACATGAAAAGATATAATAAAATATTTACAAAAATGTGAGGGGTGTACTCAATTCTCTGAGATACTGTATATGCAATGACGAGGGGTGCTTCTTGGATTGGAAATAAAATACCTCTTAATGTTCAGCTTCCTAATGTATTTATGGATATCCATATACGTCTGAAATTTACTGATAGTACGGGCGGGGCAAATTTTAATCCATGAT